GCGTGGGGGGAAACTGGAACTGACATGGGAAGCAAGCTTGTTTCTAATTTAAATATATAATTAAAAAGTGTTTTAAAAAAACAGAAAAATATTTTGTGTGTGTGTGTGTGTTTCAGTCAGTATTCAATTGCTGTGAAGAGGCACCATGACCATGGCAACTCTTTTTATAAGCATTTAATTGAGGTCTACTTATAGTTCAGAGGTTTAGTCCATTATCATACATGTTTGAGTTCCTTATAAAAAATTGAGGAGCTGAAAGTACATTGGCTGCCAATGCCACATTGTCCCCAGTGATGCTCCCTTTCCTCACGTTAATGTACTTGTGATGCCAGCTGTAATCTCTCTGAAGTACTCCAAACCTTTGAAAGTAAAATCCCACATCAATATCCAGCTTGGCAGCTCTCCCAGCTAAACATCCATCAGTTTCTTCATCAGCAGTATGAAATACTCCAACTTGGAATTCTGGTGTTCCCAGATACCTGGGGTTTTGTTTGCTTGTTTTTTGGAGTCTCACCACATAGCCTAGACTTACCTTGAACTCCTAGCAATCCTAATGCCCATTCACTCAAAAACTAAGAGTAGCTATACAAACTACGACACCTAGTTTTTGTTTTTGTTTTTTTTTTTGATATTTCAAGGGCTCTTGACTGATGTAACAACTAAGAGAGTTCTTTGAGTCTCAGTTGGGACTAACAATGCTGGTACTGTGAAGACTTTGAGAGACTCTTGAGACAGATTAAGTGCATTTTGTACTGAGATGGTCAAGAGCTTTGGTGGTAGTAGGGTAGAGATAGAACAGGAGTAGAAAGAATGCTAAACTGGTGGCAGAATTTGGGGAGGCTATGAAATCCTTAAGAGGTGAAGCCTGGCTGGTGGAAGTAAGATATTATTGGTGGGCCTTTGAAGGTGACAGTGGCACCTGGTTCCTTTACAGTCTTGAACCCTGGTTAAACATATGCTCACACCACCATGAGCTCAACTATTCTGAACCCTGGTTAAACACATGCTCACACCACCATGAGCTCAATTATTCTGAACCCTGGTTAAACACATGCTCACACCACCATGAACTCAATTATTCTGAACCCTGGTTAAACACATGCTCACACCACCATGAACTCAATTATTCCACCATGCATGCCCACCATGATGAAGTGAAAATTTTTTAACCCATGAACCAAAATAAGTCTGTCCTTTACTGCGTTGTTTCTGTTACGTTCTATGTCCATGGGGATACTAAAGCAACTAATGTAGGAATGCAGGAACCAAATTAAAAAAAAAAACTGATATCAAATGAAAGTATTATAAGCAAACAGAGTGGCACACATCATAATTTCTACGCTCAGGGGGCAGAGGCAGATGAGATGGATCTCTGTAAATTTGAGGTCAGTCTAGTCTACATAGAGAGGTCCAGAAAAACCAGGGCTGCACAACAAGAACCTGCCTCTAAAATAAAATAAAGACCAGGTACTGTAAAATATTTTTATTTTTTTGGTTTTTCGAGACAGGGTTTCTCTGTATTGTTTTGGAGGCTATCGGTCCTGCCCAGCCTCGAACTCACAGAGATCCGCCTGCCTCTGCCTCCCGAGTGCTGGGATTAAAGGCGTGCGCCACCACCGCCCGGCACTGTATTTTTAACACATAAATTTAAGGGTCCTTGCATAGTGGAAGAGAACTATGTGACCAAACATCTACTCTAGCCAAAACAACTTTAGGAACAGTAGTATCATTATTCTTACTGAGAGGCTCAAAAATGGGTTAAAAAACAACTTATATACAGTCACATAATAATTAATACTGAGGGTTAGCAGCAGTCCCTGGTTTAACATAAAACCTCTATTTTTTTCCTCCTTTTTTTTGTTTGTTTGTTTTTCAAGACATGGTCTCTCTGTATATGTCTTTGCTACCCTAGAGTTACCCTGTAGACCCAGACTGGTACTACATGAGTAGTCATACCCTCTCCAGCAGTCATCAATAGCTCCTCAACTAGCAGTAGATCTTTTGGGGCTCTGCCTACATCTGCACTGGGATTAGTGACAGACTTGACCTTGTGCAAGTAAAACTCTACTTTCAACTATTATTTCTTCTTTTAAAGATGTACTTATTTATTCTGTATACAGTGTTCTGCCTACATGTACCTGCAGGCCAGAGGAGGACACCAGATCTCATTATAGATAGTGGAGAGGCCCCATGTGGTTGCTGGGAACTGAACTCAGGACATCTGGAAGAACAGCCAGTGCTCTTAACCTCTGAGTCCTCTTTCCAGACTTCAATTATTTTTTTCTACTAAAGTTTGATCACCTATGTGAAGGTCAACAGATTAAAAGAGAAATTTATAATCAGAGGCAATTTCAATAATATTGTAGAGTGCTGAACACTAGAAGTCCTCATCCTGGACATCCTAGAAGAAGGGAGGAGGGACTACCACACAGACCTTTCCCCACATTAATGTTTTCCTTGAAGAATTTTTGATTGAGGGGTTGGGAGATAGCTTACTCAATAAAGTACTTAAGAAAGCATGAGAACCTGAGTTAAACTTCAAAATGCATCTGTAACCTAAACACTGAAGGAAATGAAATAAGAAGATCCCTAGGACTTGCTGGTCAGTCAACATAGCCTAACCAGCAAGCTCCAGGGCAGGTAAGATAGCTTCCCTCAAATAAACAAGGTAAATGGTACCTGAGGAATAACACCTCACATTGGCCTCTGGCCTCCAAACATATGCTCACACATACAAATACACCCACACAAATGCACATTGTACATACACATACAGAAGAATTTTTAAAAGCTCCATGATCCCTGCTTTTTCATATGTCTAATTTATTGGTACCCATGTCAGATCAAACAGCTGCAATAAAGAGGACAAAATCAATTAAGAATAAAATATAACATGGCAACTTTCAAGGAATTAGTACAAACTGTCTTTTATTGGGCTCTCATAAAAGAAAGTTGCTTGGGGGAAAACTGTTGTAAAATGTCACTAGAGAAATTATTTGGAAGCAAGTGACAATAAATAAACGTATTAAATTCTTAAGATTCCCCCAAATTTATAAAGAAGCTTACTTTTACAACCTGAAAGTAAGGAGGAGATGGCTGTTTTGGAGCAACTCTCCTAATAATTTACAGAGGTAATTTCTGAGGCTCAGCTACTCCTACCCTGGCTAGAGGCAAATATAAAACCATTCAAGAGTGATAACAAATACAGTCGTTACCATCCATGGTAGAAGGGATCAATCACAAGCCCATCTGTATAAGACCTAGCTAAGAGATACTATTCAATCTGGGTACAAAGGGAACAATGGATTACCAGAGGAGAAATGTTATTATCAGACCATGACAAACTTTTACAGATCTGCATGGTCATTAACCAACTGCTTGATGGTGGCTTGCATCCCAAGCTACCAGTACCGAACTGGAAATGAGGCAGACCTTTAAGACACTGGCATTGCCTTCTGAATTTTTTGTAGTAATGTTCAAGATACCAAAACAAAAACCCTCTTTATAAATGAAGAACTAAAGGCAGTATTTTCCATATTATTTCACATTTGAAATTCCTTAAATAAAACCAAATTCAGCCCAGTAAAAATACAAAAAGACCAGAACTTCTTCAAAAATTATGCCAGCAGGGCTGGAAATATGGCTCACAGGAAAGAGAGGGTAACATAACATTTGATGACTGAGATTCCTAGATTCCACAAGGTGGCAGGAGAGAACCAACTCCCAAGAGTTGTCTTTTGATGTCCTCACTGCCATACACGCACAACCACATACACGCACATGTACTCACAAATAACTACGTGTGTGTGTGTGTGTGTGTGTGTGTGAGAGAGAGAGAGAGAGAGAGAGAGAGAGAGAGAGAGAGAGAGAGAGAGAGAGAGAGAGAGATCACACGTAATCCAAACTAACCAAGATCACTGAAATTTATAATTTACCATGGATAAGAATTAATGCTTCTCTGGTCTTGAACTTGCAGATGTGGCAGAATGAACCCTGAGGACATTAAAGCTGGAGAACTGGCCCTGGCCCTGCCCCCTGTTCATCTCTGCCAAGGGTGAACTAGCCAGGGCAATGCAGGAGAGCTTACCCAGGTGGTGAGAACAAGAGAGAGCAGCTGAGCTGACCAACCCTACAACTAACCAGGCCCTGAACCAGAATATGAGTTGGCCCACCCCAACATCCACCCCATCTGTGAAGGGACCAGACATGCAGGCCCAAAGCTGCAGAATCTCTATGACACAGGGCAACAACAGGATAGCCAAGAGAAGTTCCAGTGAGGACCCAGCATCCACAGTGTAGCAGAAACCAGAGGCCTCAAAACCAGACCGATTACTCTTTGCAAAGAACATTTACAGGTAAAGATATGTGGGTAAAAGGGTTTACTATGTGACTCACTATGTCACAATACAGCTTCCATCATGAGACTGATTTTTTTTCCTCTTAAATTTTGTTTAATTTTGTGGTTTGGGGAGATTGCATGGGCAGAGGGCAGATACAAGGGATGAGGAAATGAATAGGATGGAGATGGCATGATGAGAAAGACACAAAGAATAAATAAAAGAAAATTTTAAAAGGGAAAAAAATTCAGGATTATCGAGCCATGAGGCACAACCCCCAGGCACTCCTCCATGGTCTCTATATCAGTTACTACCTCCAGATACCTGCCTTGAGTTTCTGCTCTGAATTCCTTCAGTTAGGGACTGTGATGAGTTGTAAGATGACATACTCTTTCATCCTCCCCGAAAAAGAATTAATACTTCTAAATCTCAATGCATCAAACATATTTTTATAACTATCTTCTCATTTAAGTAATTTACAACATAGTTTGAAGTACAGATGTGGTATAAATTCTAATACTAAGAAAACCTAAAGAAATAGCATATTTTAATTAAATCTAACAAAAGAAACAAAATGATCACATGATTCTGAACACAACAAACATGTAACAAGATGAAACTAGAAATGGACTGGACTCCACACAAATCACAACCACTCTTTACCTCCGTCTGCAGGATGGCAGCCCTTTGTTCCTTAGCAGTAAGGGACTCCTTTAGCACCTCAATATGTTGCTTACTGTCTGAAAATTGGTTCGTGAGAGTTTCTAGCTTTGTTTGTAAAGCTAGCAATTCCGTGTCCTTTCTAGACAACTCTTGTTTCACCTGGCCAATCTGGAAAAGAAAACATAACATGGTAAGGAAGAAAGAAATTACCTAACTACCATGTAGCTGGACGTCTGGCAAATTTATGACACAAGAAAGGAACTAAATGTACAATTAACTTTATAAGGTAGAGATGGGGGGTGGGTGCTTTAGTGGTACAGCACTTGTCTAGCAGTCCGAGTTCCTAGGCTCATCAAATAGTCAATAAATAAGATAGGACATACTAATCTTTTTGAGACATCTAATACCAGATGCTCCTTACCAAAAACTAAGGTTATTCAACAAACACAGAAATTTCTAATCTACATTTATTGTTCTCAAATAGTTTCTGAAACCCCTTAGGCCAATAGTTCTCAACCTTCCTAATGCTGTAAGCCTGTAATATAGTTCCTCATGTTGTGATAATCCCAAATCATAAGACTATTTTCATTTCTACTTCATAACTGTAATTTTGCTGCTGAGGAGTGTTTCAGTTTCTAAGACCATCAGAAATACATTTTCGGATGGTCTCAACCCACAGGTTGAGAACCACTGCCTTAGGAGGAAAAGATGGAGGAGGAAATTACAGTGAAACCAGACCAGGCAGTGTTCATCACCTAAACATCACTCTATTTTGTCAAGCCTTCATCTCCAGAAGTCAGTGGGTCACAGGCAAGATTAGTGTGGATGTTAAACTAAGTGGAAAAGCAACTTCCTATTTCTACTGGAAGCAAATTCAAACCCTAGTGGTATACTTTTTTGGTTTTCGTTCTCAAGCAAAAGTTTCACAAAAGCTTTCTCTTAAAAGCTAGACTAGATGTGGAAGTGCACACCCTTGTCCTTGGCAGAAGCTGTTGGATCTCTGTGAGTCCAAGCCAACAGTATATAGTGAGACCCTGTATCATGAAAATAGGAGGAAACCAAACTACTTTCAGTGATACAGTGTTAAAGAGATATTTTCTTTAAAAAAAATCACCTGTTTATCAACTATATACACACCATAGAACATAAACAGACACACACATTGGGCTTAGAAGAAGAGTGTATGAGCCCTCACTGAGAGAATCTGCATGTGGCATCTGAAGTTTATCAGTTGAATGGGCAACTCATAAATCAAACAGTACAAAACCTTCTCTCTCTTTTTCTCTTTTTTTTTTTTTTTTTTTTGTTCTGTTTTTCAAGACAGGGTTTCTCTATGAAGCCCTGGCTGTCCTGGAACTCGCTCTATAGACCAGGTTGGCTTCGAACTTACAGAGAAATCTGCCTGTCTCTTCCTCCCAAGCGTTGGGATTAAAGGTGTGTGCCACCAAAGCCCAGCTCCACAAAGCTCTCTTAACAGCAACAAATATTTCCTTTTAAACATCTTCTTTATATCCCTACTGTTCCTAAGCATGTGTGTGTGTGTGTGTGTGTGTGTGTGTGTGTGTGTGTGTGTGTGTGTGTGTGTGTGTGTGTGTGTAAGGGGCCCCAGGCCCACACAAACTGATATGTAGCCAAGGCTGCTCTTGAACTCCTGATCTTCTTGTCTCTGTCTCCTAAGTATTAGGATTACAGGTATGTGTGCAAACACACCCAGTAAATATGTACTGTGTTGTATTTGCACATACACATGCAGAGACCAAAGGCCAATGCTGGGTGTCCTGCTCTATCACTTTCTGCCTTACTTTTCTAGACTGACTCTCTCACTGAATCTGAAGCTAATAAACCCTGGTGACCCTCCTGTCTCCATGTTTCTGTAGCACTGGGATCACAGACACATGCAAACACATTTGGCTTCTTACATGAGTTCTGGAGATTTAAAACCAGGGCCTCCTGCTAACACAGCAAGTGTTCTTATTCACTGAGCCTTCTTAGCCAGCCCTATTTCTAAGAATTTTGCTTGTTTTTATGTTTCTCAAGACAGAGTTTCTCTGGGTAGCCCTGATTGTCTAGAACTCACTATCACACTAGGCTGGCCTCAAACAGAAACAGATTAATCTGCTTCTGCCTCCCAAGTGCTGTGCTGAGATTAAAAAGACCTGCACTACTATTACACCCAGCCACCTTCTTTCCTATTTTGAACTCATTAAACTTAAAAAAAAAAGATTAAAAAGGAGAGCTGTCTTATGACATTTTCTAATCTTGTATTACAGGAAATAGCTACAAGGCAGATTAACTACTGAACAGAAATACAGTAACTTGGTAACTTTCATTGCCAGATGAACCAAAATTCCTTGAATTTAAGAAAACTGAGTATCTCTAAAATATTTTACTAATCTTGGGTAAAAGGAAAAGGTTTTTAAAGCAATTTTGAAGAAACAAAATTTACCTGAAAATTAGACTTTTAGTTTGGGAACATACCTCAATGGAAGAGTTCTTTCCTAACATGTACAAGACCCTACATTTGATCCCCCCCAGTATAACAACAGAAAAAAAGAGGGAGGGAGGGCCAATTAGACTTTTAAAGAGCACTAAAAACAATTTAGTCTTCTCTTATAATAAGACAGCATTTTTCTATATACATGAAAACCATTTACTGATATAGTAATCATTCATATTTTATATGCTTATTATATACAAATATAAAAGGATACTAGTGCTATTCCTTTACCAACAACAATAATATATATTAGTATATTATTTAAATTTTTATATATAAAATTAAAATGAATATAAAAATATTTGCTCTATTAATAAATACCCAGAATATTCAAAGTATTACTACTTTCTCAGGAAAGAACTATGGTATCCAAATTTCAGGGTACTTTTTTATTTTTCTTTCAAAGAATAATTTATTGAACCCAGGGTACTTTTAAACATGGGTCACAAATAAATAGAAGCCAAGCATGGAGGTACACACCCAAACCTCCCAATGCTAAGGAGGCTGAGGCAAAATCACAAGTTTGATGACTAACCTACATAATAAAATTCCAAAATACACACACATACACAGAGAAAGATTTCAGCCCTGCACAAGACTGTTGTTTCCTTGCTGTGTGAATTATTAAACAAGCTTTACAGGCCCTTAAAGACTGAGAAAGAGAAGGAAACACTTTCAACAAAAGAAAAATTAGAAGTACAAATCTTCCTTCTAGAATTATCAGGAGACAGAACTAGGTGAGGAGCACATGGTAGCAGTTAGTCACTGAAGAGATCAGTAATGTTATTCTCTACATCTTGGTGTCCTAACTGACAATGGGGAAACGATCCAAAGTCTTATACTGCTTAGAAATTCAATAAAATAATGTAAGAGATGTACTTGGCCTGCTGTCTGATATACTTAAATGAATAAAATAGCTAAGAAAAAAAGGAAATTATATAGCAATTTCTCCTTCAGATAACATACAGCTAACACCAGAATACAAATTAGATCTTTTCCAAACATAGGATTTTACTTTTTAACCTACAAGACAAACTAGTCATAAATAAGAAGCACATCAAATCATACTGGATTCCAGTCTTAGTCCATAATTCTTCCCAAGAGTAGTTTTTCCATTCATCTTTGGCACTTTGAAGAAGATGTGCATGGACAATACAAAACAAATAGTGAAGAAATTACAAGCAAACTCTAGAATGGGATTGCTGGTGCCAATCAAACTCTGTCCCTTACGACCTGTGGTTTACTGGGCATCATCTGATACCTGAGTTTTCTCATCTGTAAATTAGTATTGGTAAACCCAGATGCTTCTAGTAAGTATACAAGTAGTGGTTATTTTATTATTATCTATTAGAACAGTTTGAAATGCATTTTTAGTAATTTAAAATAAATATCACACTAATTAGTTCTAAACTCTCAGGTAACTTTAATTAGGCTAATCACGCTCTATACATCTGTCCTAAAGAAAATAACTTTTGTTGCAAAATCTACTAATGGAAACTTAAAAATAATGTCTCCATGTAGCTAAAGCACTTTTCTAAACAATTCAAATGTAGGTAAATCGTAGGTGATGGGCCTAGAGACATCTGCATATTCCTGTACCTAAAAAGAATGGAGGGAAATACCATTCATATAAATCAACATACATGTATTCAACAAGGGGATGCTGAATGGGAATTTTAAGATACCATCCACAGAGCAGCACAAACAATAAAGAACCAGGTGTAGACCTTCTAGAATCCAAGTAGACTCGGTGTGCACAAGTGATATATGAGTCAAACTGTGAACAAAGGTCAGTTAAGAGAGCAGAGCAGGCTGGTTAGTGCTAAGAATTGGCAGAGCTGCCATCCATACAGAGAATGAAAGTGTAAGCCACCCAGAAGCCAGAGCCAGCAGGGTCCCACTGTGGGATCACTGCACACAGAGAGGTAAATCTTACTGCAAAGACCTCAGACTGAAGACCAGCAGCTCTCTTTTTCAGCTCCTCCCCTTGAGCCTCTTTCGAACTTAGTTCCTCCTTCAGTTGCTCTACCTGTCACGACATTGTTATTGTTTTTCACTCATGTGCCAACTTAGGTCTTCAAATTACCTGATTTTGAGCCACAGTGACCTCTGAAATAACAATAACTTACATAAGATCATCAAATCTGCTCCCCTAATTCAGTTTTCAAAGGCATATACTGTCTCTGCTTCAAACTTTTTTAAATGAATTAAAAAGTGCTGGCCAACAAAAAGAAAGTGTAATATAGATTATAATATGGCATATTTTGTCCCAAAATCATGGAGAAAATCCAAGCTAACAAAAAGTTGGGCACATCAAATTTTTAGCTTTAAAAAAACATGCAATTAGTATAAACCATCAATAACAGACTCTTTAGTAATAGAGGAAAATTCTATAGACATATGCCAGATACACAACAAAAAGCCTAAACAGGGTAGGAAGTCACATTTGTGTCATTCCTTGGCAGTCAAATACAGGCAATGTTTCTGTTTTCAATTCCAAGAAATTGAAAAATACAGCTGCTGTATACATTTGGGAAATGCAGTGAGCAATACTTTTCTAACTAAAATTTCATTGTTAAAATTATTTATTTGTGTATTTGTTTATTTTGAGACAGACCCACCCTCACTATGTAGTCTTGGCTAGCCTGGAACTCATTATGTAGACCAGGCTGGCCTCCAAGTTGCAGCAGTCTTGCTGCCTCTGTCTACCAAGTGCTGGGACTGCAGGCATGTGCCACCATGTCCAATTTTTGCAGTTATAATTTTTAATTAACCCACAATACAACTGATAACCACAATAAACTAAATTCTTCAATTTTCTTTAAACAGATCATAGTATCAAACTAAATGACTCTGGATCTGAAGAAAGAATGTTGTGGCTGACTTTGAACTACAATGACAGGCCTCAGTACTCAATATCCTACTATACATATGCCTGAGAACACATGGGAAGAGACAAACCTAGTAGCAAATGAATTCCCCAAATAGAGAGCGCAAAGGCCTTCCATTCTTGGAACTGGTTTAAGGGGAAACATTTAATTTGTTTTGGAAAAATCAACTCTGGAGAATTTGACTTAAAACACTTCCCAAAAGAGGTAGATAATAAGCCATCTCACGCAGTAAGAAGAACTGCATCTGAACAAAGTTCCAGAAGTACTTGCAGAAAAAAAAAAAAGAAAAAACTATAACATGTCCTTACTCATGTCAAACAATTCTTATTTAAATAAAAGCCTGCAATAACTAAATGATACCAGTAACTCTGACTTTAATTCTGGGAAGCTTCTATGTGGGGGCAAGGGGGGCCACTCCTGTAAAGTCTACTAAAACATAAAGATCTTTATCATCACTAATATGATAAAAGTACACATAAAATGTTAAAGCTTCTAGGACTGAAGTATCTGTTCCATACCTTATTTTTCATGAATTTGGAGTGGCTCCTATACACCTCCATCTGTTTCATTTCTTCCTCCCGTTCTTCAGTACTCAAAGCCCCATTTGATTTCAGCATCTGAATTTCCTCTTCAAGGTCTCGGAGTCCACGCTCCATGGAAGAAATTTTTGAATCCTAGGAACAATGGAAGATTTAAAGTGTCAAAATATTTACAAAGATTAAAAATAGTTGAATAACTAACTGGGTCTCTCAAAATACTGAATTTAATAACAACAAATATGCAGAAAAATCTGAGACTAGGAAGACACATCCTCACAACATGATTGCACCTCTTTCTTCCTCCAGCTATAGACCCTTAAATTTAAGCAGACATAATTAACCCAAAAAGTAGAAACAATAGAAAATGGCTAAAGGTTCTTTCCATTTTATGATCAACAAATTTCTCATGGGGGAAAACTGTAATATTAATAGCAAAACCTTTTCTATTCTAATATTTCACCACTTTATTTAGTGACCTCTGGGGAGCATGTTTCTGCCACTAAATAAAAGAATATAAGTTTGAAAGAATTGTACAATGAAAAACCATAATTATGGATATGATAATAATTATCTAGCATTCCAATGGAAAAATTCAAGAAAGAATAATTGTATTAATGGTTACTTTTTATGCATTAGAAATCTTATTCTCTGAACTTCTGGCATATATTTGAAATATCTACATATGTTTTAAAAAGGACAGTCTAGACAACATAGTAAGACAACCACAGAAGACTAGCTGTACAGCTTCTACAAGGCCCTTACCTAACGCCTTACTTCTTCTCCATTCACAACAATAACACAAGACAAAAACCAACTCACTACCAAACATATAGCACAAAAAAACTTCTTTCTAGAAAAGACCATTATTGTAGCTGTGAAAACCTCAAAGCAAACACGGCCAGCAAGGGGAAAGATTTTTCCATTTATTCTTTGAAATCAGGCTGGAAAAACTATCCCTTCTTTGTATAACTAGTCCTAGCATAAATTCTAGTGGTTTTTGTGAGGATAGTTCTCCAAATCATGTTTTGCACTTCTCTGTGAAATAAGCAGAAAATTTAGTTCCCTTTCACTTTCCCACTCTACTTCCCAAGCCTTGACTCCCCTATGTCAGCCATTCCTAATGGACCTTCTAAGATGTACTCCTTGAGAAATTCCACACATTTCCAATTCCAAAGGTTGTCTCATTTCTGCAAGCAAAACTGGACTTTCCTGAAGGTTGTAATTACCCTGAGTTATCTCATTTTGAAACATCAGAGACCAGCTTCCAATCACCTGGAAGATAAGCTTCTGGGGCATCTTACGGTATGTATATTCAGGTTAAGTGTTGAAGGTGAAAGGCCAGCCTTGAACATGAGTGGCACCATCCCATGAGCAAGTATCCGGGATTAAATAAAAGGAAGAAACCCAGTGGAGCAGCAACACCATGTCTTTCTGCTTCCTAACTGTGAACACAAAGTTACCAGATGCCTCCCTCACGTGCTTACTGCTTCTTCTCATCCCATGGTCTCTACCCTGAAGAAGCCACAATACAAAATAAACCCATTCCTTTTTTTTTTTTTTTTTTTTTTTTTTGGCCAGATGTGTTGTTCTAGCAATGAGAAAAATAACCAACACAGCTTCCACCTGACCCTTCTTGTTGACAGAATCTTGTTTTACAATATAAGTTTGGCAAGACTTAAAATGTACCCACTGCCAATTAACAAAATTACACATCCCTGATCTGTGAGAAGGAGAATTTAAAACAAAACAACACCAAACCATGTGTGAACATGTGTTTTATCCTTAGGCATTAACATGGATCAAGAAATAACATGCACAAATAAACCTATGTTGTGTGACTAAGGAAAAGCCATATAATTAAACCGTTTGAAAGGCCCCCTTATAAAATTATATTCAAGCTTGTTATTATACAACTGCAAAGTGCCCAAAAGCTTATAATTAAATTCTTTTGAGAAATCCTTCCCCCCACTGAAAAAGAAAATATACATAATATGTGCAAAGTTTCATCATTGCCAGCCAAATCATACTGTTGCCAGCCAAGGCTAGAGTATCAGACCTTATCTCAAAACACATAAACACACACCCCAAAAATGGGGTGATGATACAAACCAAGTCTCTTTTGGGTATGAAGAAATTAAAGAAAGCAGACAGAACTAAATGGGCTTTTGTAAGAAAGAACATAAAGCAGAGGTAAGGTAGCACATGCCTATAATCCTAGCACTCAAGAGGTTGAGACAGGAAGAGGGCAAGTTCAAAACCAGCCTAGGACACAGGCAGAGGAAAGGAAGACCGTGTGTGATGGTTAGTTTTAATGATCAACTAGCTACAACCCTGAATTGTTTTGGAAGAACTCTCAATGAGGAATTATCTACATCATATTGGCCGTGCAGAGACTGTTTAGACTGCATTAACTGAGTTGGGATGAGAGACTCACCCTGAATGTGGGTGGCACTAATTCATGAACGGGGCCCTGAACTGTACAAGATGGAAGAAACCTAGATAAGAGCAAGCCAGCACATGGCAATAATGCATTTGTTTCTCTCTGATCTTGGTTACAGATACAATGTGACCAGCTGTCTCAAGTTCCTGCCTTTGTCTTCCCTGTAATGGTGAGCTATTACACAGAACTTTAAGCCAAATTGTCACAAATAAGGAAACCAGAAGGCCATGTGTTTAATAAAAATACTAGCAACACCACCTAACATCAGCTGTTAGCTATGTACAATGTCGTGTCCAAAGCATTTTACAGGTTTTAACTATGGAACTTCAAACTAACCAATGAATGAGATTCTTACCACCATTAACAGATTTTTTTTTCTTTAACCTGAGTCATAGAGAGGTTAAGAAACTTGCTTCATGTCACATATCTAATAAAATGTAGCTGGATTTTAAATCAAAGGAGCTTAACTCAAAAAGCAAACTCTTGTAACTCCTGGAGATTTCTAACTAATGACTGACTTAAAGCAGGTTTTCAAAATACCATCTTTCCAATCAGGGTCCTCTAGACATAGAGTCTTCAGAGCTAAAGCGACTTTCACAGTAATCTTACAGTTATCATTGAATCTTTCCAATGTATTGACAGTTGCACTGATAAAGGAAACAACAGACAAAAAGTACTAGTACCTGAACACAAGTCAGAACAGTGGCACTACATAACAGAAGTAGTCATGACATTCTTTAGGGAGATAAACAGGTAATGAAGAAAAGGATAAATAACTAAAATTTTAAAACAATGTCCTTGATTAAGCAGTTAAAATGCATTCCTTTTAATAAATTCCAACCATCAAATATATATGAAAAAATGGGAATTAGGCATGGAGCACTTACGATGCATACTGTAGAACAATGGTTGTCCCTAGCAACAGCACCTACAGGATGCTCTAAGGTGCAAGCTGAGATGCCTGGGTGCTTCCTTCTTAGAGTACAACTCTTATTGAAAGCACAACTTTCACTATGACTACTGAGTCTTGGGTTTTGGCAAATTTTCTTCTTAAAAAAAAAAAAGGAAGTACACCAGGCGGCATCAGCTTTAATCTCAGCACTTGGGAGGCCGAGGCAGGTAGATCTCTGTGAGATGGAGGCCAGCCTGGTCTACAAATCGAGTTCTAGGACAGCCAGGGCTACACAGAGAAATTCTGTCTCCAAAGAACAAAAAAAAAAAAAAACAACAACAACAACAACAAGAAAAAAAAAAAAAAAAAAAAAGGCCTGTTAACTTCAAGAAAAGTATGGGATCCTAACACTAAGAGTCTCTCTCAGCCTCTATGTCTGTCTGTCTGTCTGTCTCTCTCTCTCTCTCCCTCTGTGTGTGTATGTGTGTGTGTGTGTCTGTGTGTGTGTGTACATGCACGTGTATTCACATGTAAGCATGTTCATGTGGGTCACATATGTGAGTATGCACGTACAGACCAAAAGACAAACTCCAGTGTTGTTCCTTAAGCTCTATCCACACTATCCACTCTGTTTTGTGAGACAAAGGGTCACACTGGCTACGAGCTCACCAAATAGGAGAGGCCAGCCAGCCAGCAAGCCCCATAGAGTTCCCTGTCCCTATCTCCACAGTGGTGAAGTCACAGCATGTGCCAAGGAGCTCAACCTTTTTACATAGGTTCTAGGGATCCAGCTCAAGTGCCCAGCAAATCGTTTACTGATAGCTATCTTTGCAGGCCAAGAAATTTCCTTTTCCATAATTCCTCCTTTTATTTGAATATGTTAATTACATAAAAAAACCAGTTTTTATTGTGCCATTTTCATACATGTATGAACATAATTTGATCACGTTTACCCCCATTACTTCTTTTATCACCGTTCTTCCTGACTAGTTTTCCTTCTTCTTGCCTAATAATCTCCTCTCTATTTTAAGAAGCTTGGCATTTGACTTAAGATATACTAGACAAATCTTTTTGGTCTAGTTTGGTTGAATTATGTCCAACAACTGAAAGGAAACTGAAAATACTGTTAAGGCACTATTTCATGAAGTTCTACACTTTCCTCTTCCAGTTGAGTGAAGTATTATTGTTACCATAACTGTCTAAACATGCAGGAAGGTGGTCTAAGCAGTCAAGAGTAAAAGGTGACTCCAAGATTCTTTATGATATTCTCACTTACCTTCATCTCAATGACAGTTTGCAAGGCTTTTGTTTTGGCAGAATCAGGGGCATTCTCAAATCTCCGATGCATCTCCTAAATAGAAGCAGAAGAGAGTCAGTGGCTGCCTTTCTATACTAGTGCCTTTTCTGTTCTCACTTTGTAGCTCTAGTTGGCCAGGAGCTCACTATGTATACTTGACTGGTCTTGAACCCAGATCCACCAGATCCTCTGCCTTGCAAGTTCTGGTATTAAAGGAATGTGCCACTGTGCCTAGCTACTCCCATGCTTTTTGTAGTGGGAGATGTTGAAAATAGCTAAGCCAACCTTTGTGGTCAGTGGACCCTTCCTTTGCCACAGACCCTTACCTGTGGATCAGGAAATCCAGACTGCATTCTGACTGATTTAACATACCTGGAGGATCCCTGGTTCTGAACAGCTAGTTAATTAGTCATAGTAATACCAACAACTACAATAATAGAAACTACCACACATCATTAGATTGACATATCAGTAAGACATGAAACCAAAACTGTAAATGATCTAAAAGGGGGTACTAGAAAAGGCACCCCCCTTTTTTTGTTTTTGCGTTTGGCTTTTCAAGACATGGTTTCTCTAGATAGCTCTGATTGTCCTAGAATTCACTCTGTAGACCTGCCTGCTTCTGTCTCCCAAGTGCTGGAACTGAAGGCATGTGCCACCACTGCCCAGATGAAAAGATCCTGGGGGAGGGGGGAGGTGTATTTTGTTTTGTTTTTCAAGACAGGGTTTCTCTGCATGACTTTGGAACCTGTCCTGAAACTTGCTCTGTAGACCAGGCTGGCCTTGAATTTACAGAGATTCGCCTGTCTCTGCCTCCTGAGTGATGGGATTAAAGGCATGTGCTGAAATATCCGCAGGGCAACAAATATCCCTTTTCAAAAAAGAGAAACAAAGGCCATCATAGCCAGCCTGCAGTGAAGAGCTACGAAGTTCTCGCTGTTAACTGCAGCACTCACCTCCAGGGTAACAAGTGCCTGGTTACCTATGATGAACACCTTTAGCAGGACCAGGGAGGAAGAAAAACTCAGTTGGACAAGTTTCCAAGTAGTTCAAAATCAGAAAATATCATGACAGGTTTCTTTTTTATTTTTTAAAGATTTATTTATTTTATGTGTATGAGTGCTCTATCTGCATGTACACCCTTATTTCAGAAGAGGACATCAGATCCTATAGATGACTGTGAGGCACAAATAACCATAAAATTAATGTTATGAATCATAATATAAATATTTAACATACAGGATATCTTATATGCGACCCCTGTGAAAAGGTCAGGAACATCCCAAAAGAGGTTGGGACCCACAGATTGAGAGCCACTGGTGTAGGGCATTTTCTTAACTGTTTGATGTAAGAAAGTTGAGTATATAGTGGATAGGGCCATCCATGCTGCTGGTCCTGGGATCTATAAGAAAACAGGCTGAACAAGACATGAAGGGAAACAGAGGCAGGAAGATCTTTGTGAGTTTGACACCAGCCTGGTTTTAAGTAAGTAAATGACATGACACATAGTCAGGAAGGAAGAATATTGATAGTCTTCAAGGAACACTCAGAAGTTATAGACAATCTCAGACAATTCACTTATAAGATCTGTGGCTGTCTCTGAATTATTCATTAGTAAAGAAACCTGGGATACCCCTAGATAGGAGAATAGAGTACAATACTCCATATGAACAATGGTTAAGAATAATGAAAATGACTATGATTTAATATTTTGATTATATTCACCTAAGTTATTCACTGTTGCCTGACCAGGAAGCTCACTGATGAACTTTTTTTTTTTAATTCTTATGAACAAAAGCTCTTTTCAAAACTTGTTAACATTATAGAGCATTTCTGATTTCAGTTTTAGATTAGGAATGCTCAACTGCTGAAGTCTATGAAAATATTCCAAACTCCAAAAAAAAGCCCACCACCTGAAAAACTCTAGCTCAAAACAGTGAAAGGAAGGCAGGCTCAATCTTTATTAATATACAATACTCTTTCTGCTACAACTCTTACTAACTCTAGCCTCAAATATCCAAGTAAATAATCATAGGTAGTAAACATTTTTAAAGTGTGATGGTTGAATGAAAGTAGCCCCCATAGGCTCATAGGAGTAGCACTATTAGGAGGTGTGGCCTTGTTGGAGTAGGAATGGCCTTGTTGGAGGAAGTGTGTCACTGGGGATAAACTTTGAGGTTTCAGATGTCCAAGCCAGGCCCAATGGTTTACTCTCTTCCTGCTGCATTTGGATTCAGATGTAGAACTCTTAGCTATCTTCCAGAACCAACCATGTCTACCTACACACTGTCAGTGTCCCACCATATTGACAACAGACTAAACCTCTGAACTGTAAGCCAGCCCCAAATAAATGCTTTCTTTATAAGCATTACCATGCTAATAATGTCTCTTCACTGCAACAGAAACCCTCAGACAAAAAAAATATTTTCCTACAACTGGGTTTCAAATGCATCTTAAACCTGCACCACATAAGAAGTCATTCGTACCTTCTACTATTCCATAAGCCAAAGTCAGGAAACCTATTTAGATGGACCTTCAAAACATTCCAAAATCCAGACAGGCAGAGGTGGAGCAAGTGTTTAGTTCCAGCACTCTGGAGGCAAAGGCAAGTGGGTCTCTGTGAAGGGTCTACAGACTGTGGGGACACCAGACCTTGAGCAGAAACCCACTTCCCCTTCGGCCTGGGAGCAGGCAGCTGCTAGATAATGTTTACTGAAAACAATTCAGTGCTATAAAGCTCTTGATAGGGCTCAGATAAGGGCTCGCTCATAGAAATACCATGACTTTGATCCCCCCTACGGCTAGATGCCTCTTCCTGCTCCCTGCTGGGGCCGGGAGGGTGAGAAGTCTGGAAAGAATTGTATGTAGATGAATGGCAGAAGTCCTTAAAAAGGACTGACTTGGGAAGCATAAAGTTTTCTTAAAGCAACCAACAGGTCTCTGTGTCATCTATCCCGACCACCTCGCTACATTCTCGGATGCAGGCTGCACAGCAGGTGCGACAACAGACCTAGTCCCAGGACAACCAGGACTGCACAGAGAAACCCTGTCTTGAAAACAAAAAACAAAATTCCAAAATCCAAACACTTTCTTACATTTTTAATACTACCACCTAATATGAGCCATGCAAAAATCCACACCTTTCATTAACAACTTCCTACATTTTGCCTCCCTTACCTTCTCAACAGAGCTCCTTTAAAAACCAAGTTGAACAGCAGGGCAGTGGTAGCACAGGCCTTTAATCCCAGCACTCAGAAAGTAGAGGCAGGTGGATCTCTTTAAGGCCAGCCTGGACTACAGAGGGAGTTCTAGGACAGCCAGAGCTACCCTGTCTCAAAAAAAACAAAGAAATGATAACAAAAAAACAAGTTGATCTAGTCACCCCACACTCTAAACCTGGTTGTCTTAGTTAGGTTTCTATTGCTATGACAATACACAATCACAACAACTCTTATACAGAAAACATTTAATTGAGAGGACTTGCTTACAGTTTCAGAGGTTCAGTCCATTATCATCATGGTGGGGAGCATGGCAGCATACAGACAGATATGGTGCTGGAAGAGTAGCTGAAAGTCCTACATCTTGCAAGCAACAGGAAGTTTATTGACTCACTGGGCAGTATCTTGAGAATAGGAACCCTCAGAGCCCACCCCCACAATGACAAACTTCCTCCAACAAGGCCATACCCTCTCCAACAAAGCCGCACCTCCTAATAGTGCCACTCCCTATGAGATTATGGAGGCCAGTATCATTCAAATTACCATACCTGTCAAAGCTCCCCGTGTGACATGTTTTCTTAAAAGACTGTAAAACCTCATGTCATCACTATACGTCAATTATACTGGACACCTAGCTGTTCCCCAAATATGCTGAGCTGTTGAACTCTCTCCCATCCCCCATGCCAAATGAACGCTTTACCTCCAACTGTTCACAGTTCAAGTGTCTCTTAAAAATTTTAGGTGTATTAGCTGATGTGATTATATTTAAACAAGAAAATGTCGATATGATTTATAGGTACATGCCAAAGACAGTACGAGTAAAATTATTATGCCAGCATATTGTCTTAAATTTGTTAGTGAAGAAAAGAATAAATGAATGTCTGTCTCCTGAAATAGGCTTATTTTCCTGCTTTGTGTGTCTAGTAACTGTCTAGTAATTTATTATAGGGTGGGCATGATGGGTACACCATTATGGAATGTCCAAGTTCTAATGTCTTCACTAATTAAACAATGTCTTCATTATCATCTTTTTAAAATTATTTAATTATTCTGTGCATGTGTGTGTATTCAATCAACACATACACAAAAATTACAAATCGAATAGAATTATTATTCTAGCCAATAAACTAAGAAGTAGCTGAACTGCACACGGAAGATTAAAATTTTTAAGTGTATTTTAACAAAACAGAGCTAGAAATACAACTCAGCTGGTAGGGTTTGGCTGATATGAACAAAGCAATGGGCAGTCCTCAGCTCATGTTGGATTCCTCCAACTGCATAAAATAGAGGAAGCAGGAAGATCAGAAGTCCAGTCTGCAGTATGCAGTGAATTCAACACGAAGTGGGCTATAGAAAACCATCTCAAAAAAGGTTAATTAAATTTAAAAAAAAGAAAAAGAAAAGAGAATAAAACAAAGACATGATATTTACTGGAATTAAAAATGATAATAATCTATCATACATAAATGTAATAATGTTTCAATATTAGGAATAGAGATATGATAGATTTGGTAAAAAGCAAATGAGTGACCACAAAAGCCAAGATTACAGTTGTTCTTAGAGGAGAAAAAAGAGGCTCTGCCAGTGATACTAATGGGAGCTCTGGGTAACTATTAAAGTTCCCTTTCTGTGCCAGGGTGGTGGTGAAAAGGGAGCATACTTCAGCATTCTTTAAGCTACACAACTGTCTATACTATTGTACTGGGGTGCTAGGGTCAACCTCAGGGGCATGCACACTGAGCTACATCCCCAGCCCTGATTGACAGCACTTTCTATATTATATCTTCAACTTTGATGCTTTCTTCCCCCAGTACTTAAATACATTGCTCAGTTCAGATTAATCTCCCAACTGTATTAAAATAAACCTACCCACCAGCTAAAAGCTTGCTAACAATGATCTATTCCCCACACAGTACACAGTTGCTCACTGAGTATACAGTAGAAACTTCTAATGATGTTTGTGCAACAAATGAATGTAAGATTTTTTTATTATATAAACAAAAATAAAATGAACTACACTAACTATAAACAATTTTCACATTCTAATAAAGGACTAAAATTTATACTTATGTTCATTATTTAGTGCATCTATCCATTAAAGTATTTTAGTTGAATTTCTTTGAAATACTTCACAATTTAGGTATTTAACTAATTTTATGATATCTTTTTCCTATTACCTAATTCTAAACAACTAATTTCAAAATGCTCCATTTTGTGGTAAACTATTATAATTTTATTTTTAAACCCTAGCACACAGGCAAAGAAAGTATAAAGAAAAACAAAACTTCAAATCTTAAAGATCCTTCTACATATATAACAAGGGATGGGTAGAACGTACTCTAGCACTCACAAGCACAGAGCTTTCCCACTGAGATATCTGAAATCCCATCATCAAATTTCTAACCATGGGCCTTTGCATTCAAGATCATTGTGAGCACATCTTGCATTCAGTGGGCTAACAAAATCCCCATTCCCACTGAGCATATCAAGCCTCTGGCTCATGCCCTGTAAATAATGGGAGAGACTAGAAATAGAAGTAAATTACTATTCAAACAAGTATAAGAAGAAGAATGCACTATTTGCTCATTTCATTTCATCCCATTGGCAGAAATTTTTCATGTAAAAACAAACACAATTTGAGCACTGGGGAGAACACTGCGTCAGTACAGTGCTTCCCATGGGAACATAAGGATCCAAGTGAGATTCCCAGAACTCATGTAATTAACTGACTCAGCAAGTCCAGGGCAGTGAGAGGCTGTCTCAAAAGGCATGGTAGCTCGTGTCTTTAATCCCAGCACTCAGGATGCAGAGGCAGGACTATCTTCATGAGTTTGAGGCCAGCCTGGTCTACAGAGCAAGTTATAAGATAGCCAGGGATACCCAGAGAAGCCCTGTCTCCAAAACCCAAAAAAGAAAAGGAGAAAAAAAGCAAAGGTTACGGCTCCTAAGGAACAACTCCTGAGGCTGACTTGTGGGCATACACATACACAAACACACACACACACACACACACACACACACACACACACACACACACACACACACACACACCCTGGACTTGGGCATGGTGGTATATACCTGTAATTCAGGAGACAGGAAGATGAGACAGGAGCATGGGGAATTTGACTGGACTACACAGAGAAATAGAGGACAGGATAGAACAAAGAACAGGAGTCAGGGCAGGAAAGGGAAAGACAGGCTGGGGAAAGGAAAAGGAACAGGAAATGGGAAAGGGGGGAGATGAGAGAAAAAGATAGGAGGAAAAGGGACAGGGAAAAGAGGGGGGAAAAGAGAGGAGAGGAAGGGGAAGGAGTAATGGAAGAAGTCCTTCTGTGTATATGTAAATAAAGCACTGCTGGCCAATAGGGAAGCAAGATAAGTGGGACTAGGAGTTGAGAAGGATTCTGGGAAAAGTAGTAAAGAGGAGAGGGTAGCCATGTGATATCCAGGGAGGAAAGGACACGTCAGGAGGGCATCAGAAAGATAAGCCCTTATAAACATATACATTATTAATTATGGGTCAGTAATTAATTCAAAGCTAGCCAATGAGAAACAATAGCAAATGGCCAACAGCTTCATAATTATTATAGTGTCATGTGTGTTAATTGGGGGCTAAAGCAGCAACGGGACCCAGGTGGCTGGCAGGAAGAATGCACATTACATAATGCACATTACAAAAGAACAGAGACAGCCTGGCTTTGGTGGTGCACGCCTTTAATCCCAGCACTCGGGAGGCAGAGGCAGGCAGATCTCTGTGAGTTCGAGGTCAGCCTGGTCTACAGAGACAAGTAAGGCTTCTTGGTAGCAGCATTTTCTTGGGTGGGCTCTGTTTTGCTAGAGACAAGCAGAGACTTGTGCAGCCAGTGCAGGAGGTAAACTTACACCTGCCATCTTGCAAAAACAGCAGTTAAAAGAGCCCCAGTTTTGATTTTAGCAATGTTGTTTTGCAGATAACAGACATTCTCTCACTATGTAGACCAAGCTGGCTTTCAATTCATAGAAATCCACCTGCCTCTGTCTCTCAAGTGCTGGGATTAAAGGCGTGCTCTACCATGCCCAGTTGTGTGGTGATATCTTGCTTGTACAAATAAAGCCTGTCTGAAGGTCAGAGAATGAAGCTTGTCACTGGCTAACCACAAAGGTCTAGAGGTCTGGACAGACAGACAGGAAGGAGATGGCTGGGCAGAGAGAGGATATAAGCAGGGAGAAACAGGAACTCGCTCCCATCTGCTGAGACACTAAGGAGGTAAGGTGTGGCTGTGGCTTGTTCTGATCTTTCAGCATTTTCCTCTATCTCTGACTCTGGGTTTTTATTACTTAGACCAATTAAGAACTCCTCTCACACAGCTGAATATGTTTGCTTGTTTTTTAATTTCTTTCCTCCCAAATCTTGTTAAAAGGGGATTATTCAGATGCATCCTAACAATTTGAGACTCCTCACTCCCCTCCCTCTGTCAAAATGTACAAATTAGCTAGTTATGGTAGTATGTACCTATAATCCCAGGGAAGCTAAAAAAGAATTTTATATCTAATCAGAAGTCCTGGGTAGTTTTATGTCAACTTTACACAAGCTAGAGTCATTTTGGAAGAAGGAACCCCAACTGAGAAAATGCCCCCACCAGATTGGCCTGTGGGCAAGTCTATAGTGTATTTTCTTAATCAGTGACAGATGCAGGAAAGCCCAGCCCATTGTGGGTGGTGCCATCCTTGGGATGTTGGTCTGGGGATACACACGAAAACAGGCTGAGCAAGTCATAAGGAGCAAGCCAGTAAGCAGTACCCTCCATGGCCTCTGCATCAGCTCCTGCCTCCAGGTTTCTGCCCTGATTGAGTTCCTATCCTGGCTTCCCTCAATGACTATAACATAACCTGTAAGTAAAATAAACCCTTTTCTCCCCCAAGTTGCTTTTGGTCATGGTGTTTATCATAGCAACAGAAACCCTAAGACAGCAGAGTTATAAAATCCATTGAAGTTTTTAAATTGACTCCAAGTAAGACGAATTCTTCCTTTACACTTTTCGTAAAATGACAGTGCCTCAGAAAGTGAGGTCTAATCGCAGAGCTAGCTTAAGTCTGTTTCCTCTAAAGTATCACTCCTTCTGGCTACACCTCCATGGCAAATTATTTTTAACACGTATCTTTCACAGCAAGGCAGATGTTTCCAGGACAAACCTTTATTACTGCTTCAGCTCCACCAGCATATGTGAACTAAGGTAACAGTGTACTTCTCTTACTAGTATTTTTTAATTGAGCAGTGGCTAATTGCTACCCTGATTCTGGTTTTGCTGTTCTGTCTCTATGAACAAATAGAGAGGCAGGTAACAAATTACAACAATTCTGTAGCCCTTCAGCAACTCAGGAATCACCGAGGGTGACAGGAGGGATGATGTTATTGAGTAATATATATGCCAGATGATGTCATTCCATTCAAGAGGAAAGAAATCAGTGAAGCACTAAAACACAGAAGATGAACTTGCTAGTCAGCAGCACAGCAGACCACATAAATTTATCTAGGTCAAGATTCTGATTAATAAGGGGAGAAAAGAAAAAAAAACTGAGAAGGTAACACTCACCTCTCTCAACATATTATTCTCTTTTTCCTTTTGCTCCAAAAGACTTTCTAGGTGGTGGACATGCATTTCTGCCTCTGCCAGTCTCCTTGTTCTTTCATGGTCTTCTTCAGTGGCTTTGGCAGAAAGTCCTTTGCTCTGTAACATCTCCAGAAGCTTCTTAATGGACTCATCTCGAGCATTTAGGGTTTGCTTCTGCGTTTCAATTCGCAGCTCCATCTCCTCCAGGGTCTTCCGCAATAGGAACAGCTCTTTGGCTTGCCGCTCGTGCTCAGCGTGCAGCCTCTGGAAGTTCTCCTCTGTCAGCTCTGCCACACAAGGCTCTCCAGTCCTACTGCTGCTATCTTGCTGAAACAGCTGATTCAAGTCCCTCTGAATCCGCAGCTCATCCTGGAGAGCCTGGATTGTCATCTGCATGTGCTGGGAACATCACAAAAAAAAAAAAACATCCAAAATCAGCTTTCCCCTCAATTAGCAAAGACAGAGCAGCTTGCAAGCAGCTAAAAATAGCTGTAAAGGTTCTCAGAAATCTGCAGCCTGCAAATTAGGATTCACCTTATTCTCTTATAATTCAAAATTTAAGATCATGGTAATAATCCACAATTATCAGTAATTTAATGTGTGCTTATTCCCACCAGGAAAATAACCATGGCAGTCCTTTACTTTTATGAGCCACAATAAACTCTAGACATCTCAAAATTTAACAGAAAGTATATTAAAGAGAAAGGGAATAAAAAAATTTATTTCAAAACACAAAAATCTATCAAAACACAAGATGACTTTTAATTATTGCAAACATTAATTAGCAAGTACTAGTACGCAAGGAGTGATTATATATAACTTTTAAATTTTATAATTTAACCTTCACTATCATACACACACACACACACATGAACTCATGAATGTACACACAAACACCAAAACCAAGCATAATAGTAAATGACTATAATACACAGCATTTGGAAGACTGAGGCAGGAGTATCTCAAGTTTGAGGCCAAAGTGATAAATATCAATCAAAAAGTAAAACTACTTAGCAAAAACCCTATCTTCACAAAGATCTGAAGGACCTGCAGGCACAATGCTGTACTACATCTATCTCTACAGCTTATTCATCTTGCTTCTCTGAAAGCTTATGGACACTGATAAGTAGCTCTCCATATTCCTTTTTCCCAATCCCTGATAAAGTAACATTATATTCTTTGATTCTGTGAATGGTATTCTTTGGTATACCTGACCCACATGCCATTCATTTCAATTTTATTGACAAGTGATGGAAAATGGTAACTGTAACTTGAAGTGATCTGGAACCATCTAGGAGACAAGATACCAGGCATACTGGTGAAGGACTATTGATGAGGTTAACTGAGGTGAAAAGACCCATACTACAGTGAGTAAGGAGCACAGTTCCCTGGGCTTCAATTCTAGACTGTACAAAAAGGAGAACTAGACCACACAAACATGCATCCCTCTCTGCTTTCCAATTGTGGGAACAACCTGAGCATATGTTCAAGTTCCTGCTGCTGTGCCTTCCCTCCCCTTTTTGCTACCATTGGGGTATTTTAGCAACAGAAAAGTAAGTTACAAGTATTCTAGTAGGGAAGTGACTCTTTATGTAATATTAGCAAAATAAACTTTCACTTTCTGTATAAGCCACAAATCTTTCCAATTTTGCCATTTTTTGCTTAGCACTACTTATGATTTTTATGATATTTTTACTTATTCTTTGTGTGAAAGAAAGAGGGGGAAGGGGAAGAGAGCATGAGCATGTATGTATGCACCACCCATGTATAAGTATGGAGGGCAGAGGACAACTTTCAGGAGTCAGGTCTCTCCTTCTACCACATGGTTCTGGAAATCAAACTCAGCACCATTATACTTTGCAGCAGGCACCTCTACTCACTGAGCTGTCTCATTAGGTCACTGAAGATGACTTCTAAAGAGATTTTATGTGCATGCATACGTGCGTGCATTCGTGCGTTTATAATACTAGGGATCAAACCCAGGGTCTTGCTCATACTAGCCAGTATTCTAACACTTTGTTATATCCTGGCTCCAGAATGGATTTGTGTTGTTTGGTTGTTTTGTTGATTTTTCATATAAAGACAAGATAGTCTTTTCTTTTTAGTCTTCTGATTTGGGTATTTTCTTAGCAAGCAGTAAATTTTTATTCCTGGTAATACTCAAACTCTAAAAATCTTTGTGTTTTTTTTAATATAGATACAATTACAAATAAACTATTAGGTATTTTAATTTATGAATGTGATTTTCCAAATTCATTTAAGTGGGAGCAACAGATTTCATTTACTGGCAGTGGATGTTAGTAGTCTCAATAAAAAGGTATATGGAAATGCTGATTCGCCAAAGCCTACTTTTCCTTATTACCCTTCAAAGTCCAAAATACAGATGTTCTGCAAAAGAAAATATCAGAAGTAAAAGTAAGAGTGTTGGTTGACCCCTGTAGTTCATTCCTGGGAGGCAGAAAAATTGAAACCAGCCTCAGCTACTGAATCTTAAACAGTCAGAAATCTACTAGAAGTTAAATTCAAGGGGGAAATGTTTTCTAAGTATGGCTGTTTCTCTCTCTCCTCTCTCTCCTCTCTCTCCTCTCTATCTATCTCTCCCTCTCCCTCCCTCCCCCCTCTGTCAACATTAGCAATTCACTGAGGTCAGAAGTAATGTAAGCTAAAGCTAACAATCCTATACACACTTTAAAACATGTAGCTGTGATGGGGCAATTACTGTTTGAGAGAAGGAAGAAATGTAACTAGTGATTTGTCTACTTCATTAGCTCTACTCAGAGGCAATTTCTTCATTGAAATACAAGGCAACACCCCAACTTTAGGCTACAATCAAGATAGTTTTACTTTATTAAAACTACTGACTCCCAGCTGGGCAGTAGTGGTGCCCACCTTTAATCCCAGCACTTAGGAGGCAGAGGCAGGGGGAATCTCAGTGAGTTGGAGGCTAGCCTGGTCTACAGAGTAAATTCAAGGACATCCAGGACTGTTAGACACAGAAAAACCCTGTCTCAAAAAAAAAAAAGAAAGAAAAAAAAAACTGCTGACTCTCCTAACCCCACCAAAAAACCCACCTGCTATCAACTGTTTTAGAAGAGGGAAAGAGCCCAAAAAGAAACTGGACAAATGTCAGAAGAACCCACTTTAAAATGAGAACTAGGGCAGCTGCTGTCACCATCAAGCTAACCAGTATGGTAAGATAAATAAATAAAAGCTATACAAAGTAGACGTGAAGAAACAAATACCTACACGGAGATTGTATGAGAAAAATGTGAGAAATTATGGACAAAACACCCACATTATTAGGCATAAAACCAGACTAGTAAATATAAGATCAATATAAAGTGGCTGGAGAGATGACTCAGTAGTAAAGAACATGTATTGTCTGTTCACATGCCAACACAAAAATACACACTCTACACATGATTTAAAATTAAATGTAGAAAACATCAACACAGAAATTTCCCATTTCTCTACACAGGAACAAATTTTTTAAAACATCTAGTAACATTTTTTAAATTAACTTAAAAAGTAACAGCTTTCTTTAGTGCATTTTCTACTTTAGTTTGGGTTGATTCTCCTGCCCTGTCCTAACCCAATCCTCAATTGCCCCATACCCTTCTGCAACAGTGTCCCTGACGCCCACATTCATCCCACACCCTTTCCGTACAGATTCTTTTTTTCTCATCTAATAGATCAGCCCCTTCTAGTGTCCTGTCTCTCCCACACCTACATCTAACTACATGCTTACATTTAACATTTTACATTTCAGCAGGTGAAAGAGGACACATGATATTTCTCTTTCTGGGCCTAGCTTATCTCACTTAATACACATTTTCTAGTTTTGTCAATTTTCCTGCAAATTTCATTTTTCTTTATAGATGAATAAAAAAATTTTATTGTGCATATATATGTGCCATATTTTCTTTATCTATTTATTTATCACTAGACATCTAAGCTGAATCCATTTCTTTGTTACTGTAAACAGAAGAAATAAACATGGATGTCAAAGTATTTCTATGGTAGGATGTAATTTGGACATGTGTGCATGACAGTTCTACTTTTAGTTTTAAGGGGAAGCCTCCACACTTACCTCCATTTGACCATACCAATTTTCACTCTCAACAGTAAAAAACAGTTCCATTTTCCCCACATTGCTGTTAGCATTTGTTGTAATTTGTTTCCTTGATGATAGTTATTCTGAGTAGGGTGAGATGGAATCTCAAAGCAGTTATAATTTGCACTTCCCAAAAGGCAAAAGATGGTAGGCACTTTCAAAAATATTTACTGATCATGTGACCAATAGTTTCTGCATTTCTTAAGAACTATGTATTCAGTCAGGCATTGGTGGTGCGTGTCTTTAATCCCAGCACTTGGCACTTGGGAGGCAGAGGCAGGTGGATCTCTGTGAGTTCGAGGCCAACCTGGTCTACAGAGCGAGTTCCAGGACAGTCTCCAAAACAATACAGAGAAACCCTGTCTCGAAAGGAAAAAAAAAAAAAACCTATCTATTCAATTACTGATTGACAGTTGGGACTCTGTACCTCTTTATATATTAGAATTATTACCCTTCGTTTGCAATATAGCTGGTAACAATTTTCTCCTGTTTTGTGGACAGTCTGCTTGCTCTGTTGACAGTTTGTTTTTTTTCACTGTGATGAACTTTATAATTTTATTGGTCTATTCTTGGAGTTACTTCTTTTGCTACTTCTTTTGTTCTATATTCAGAAAATTCTTGTTTATGACTCTATCCAAAAGGGTTTTCCCTTTATCTTCCTTTATCAGTAACACCTTTTCAGGTTTGAATTTATGTTGCTTTTATTTTTGAAAGAGGGTCCCACTGTGTTCCTCTGGCCAGACTGGAAGTCTCTAATGTAGACCAGGCTGGCCTCAAACTCACTGATATCCACCTGCCTCCATCTTCTGAGAACTGAGATTAAAGGTTTGTGCCTCCATGCCCCGACCATCTCAGGGTTTAAATTAGGCCTTTGATCACAATCGAATTTATTTTTATATAGTGAGAGATGATTATACAGTGAAAAATATATAATTTCATTCTTCTGCATGTAGACATACTATTTTGCAAGCACCCTATATTAAGCAGGTTGTCTTTAAAAGTGTAATTCAGAAAAAAGAGAAGAATCTAGAGAATAAGAAACTGGCCACAGCTGGAGCCATGCCTTTCCTGCCACGGACATCTCAAACCATGAGCCAAAAGAAGCCTCCCTTAAGGTGCTTCTTGTCAGACACTTGGTCACAACAACGTGAAAAGGAACTAATATAACTATCTTAACTTCCTATAATCAGATTGAAGTGTTTTTATTTGTGATAAACATTTTAGTATTCTCTTAGGATTTCCATAGCTGTGATAAAACACAAAGAATAAAAGCAACTTAGGAAGA